TAAGATATTGGTAGTAATAACAGAAACTATTGGTACATCCATAATAACATAAACTATAACATATATATATATATATATATATATATATAATTTTTTTTTTAAAAAAATAACGTGGTACCAACCTAGTCCACTTGAAAGATTATTTTGATGCTGAAAACCCTAAAATTGAACATCTATCTCTAAAGATGGCAATAAGAAAATTGCATTCAACTAAAATATGCAATCGATAGTGTGAAAAATTAAAATAAGAAACTCTTTTTCTATCTGTGTTTAAGATCATCATGGCCTACATCATAGACCTGTAAAAATTTCGATCCAAAATCTATCTTTAAGACGGACCTAACACATAGATGAGTAGACCCTTCTTTAAATAATTGAAATCATTTCTCTACTCCTCATTTTTTCGAAAAAAGTATATGGGTATTTTAGCTGATAGTGTTTAAACCTAATTACAATGAAAATGTAATTTAAGTACATTAAGGTCATCATTGTCTCATCTAATAGCCTAGAGTGTATCATAAATTTGGAAAAATCATCTTGAAATTTAAGCACGTCAATAGTACACTCTTAGCTGCCTTATTCACATCTAAGTGAGTAAGAAATAGTTTAAACTAAAGGTTTCCTCTACCCTTATCACTGGCACCCTATGGGAAGAGACAGGTCGTTATTTTACCTTCAAAACATAAATAAGTAAACTTCTTATAAAAACATACTTGTCCCTGAAGAAGCAATATCCGTCCCTTTGGTACAAATGTACCCTAGAGAGTGTCGGTGGTGGTGCTGTTTTCTTTTTCTTTTTTTCTTTAAAAAATGCCAAAGCACATCATACATTACCATACAAATGTAGAAATCATAGTTAGCAAGTAGGGGATTATCAATAAATCGGGTCACCATGAAATCGGAAACTAATAATTTTTATTTTAAAAAGTTGGATAAAAAAATCGAGTAAAAAATATGGATAGGCAAAAATACTTCATATAAAGAGATCGTGAATATATCGGACTAGGCTCAAAAAATAGGAGTAAAAAAATCGGATATATTTAAAATATTAGAAATATTAAAACTCTAAATATATATATCACTCACTATAGAAAAAATTAATAGTAGTGAGGAGTAAGGCTTTCACTCTATATCGCACTCAGTATAAAAATGACCTCCCAATAAATATAAATTTCAAATATTCAATGTGATATATATCTAGATTACCTATTCTATTCGTCAAGATAAGTATTGGGTAGGTGAATTCAATTGACACTTTCTAGAAAGAAATTGTCTACCTCATACTTGCTAACTATGGTTTACCCATAACCTCCCGAATAAATATGTACTATTTCCATAGCAGAGAGCCAAAGAAAGTTTAGGGAGAATAGAAATAAAAATAGAAATAGAAATTTCGTAAAACAAAAAAAAGATATTGAACTTTCCCAAAAAATAATAATCAGAGTATATTAATAGGAAAGACTTTTTGAAATGATTTTTTAAAATTTTGAAAAAGTCGCGTTTTAAACTTCTTCTTGAAAAGATAGTATATTTTTACTGATCTATTAAAAAAGTAGCAGAGTAAATAGTTTTTCAAAAAAATAGGATTTTTTGAAAAAATCACGATTAAATCGGCGACTTGCAACTATGGTAGAAATACGTCCTTCGACTCATATACTACTTTTCGATATTTTAACTAGTCAATATGTTAATGAAAAAACAAAAACTTGTCTTACGATTACAAAGCGCATGTCCATATCAATGTTTTAAAACCCAATAATTTCTGATTTGGATCGTCAATCTAGATCGAAATCAGTTGGGACTTGGGAGTAAGGTGTTTACCTAGCGGGTATGGATCCTGACCCGGCTCCCCCCTAATTATATAAATTTTTTTTTTCTTAACTTATCTAATTTTTTTTTAGCGACTCTAGATCCCGGTCCAACAAACCCTTATTTCAATTTTAATTGATTAATTTATTTTTTAAAGATTACCGATTCAATTCGATTTAGACTTGACCTGGATCGCTGGTCTAGATCCAACACAGATCTATGGTTGAACAATCCGCCCCACTATCCGAGTTTTGAAACACCGATCACTTTGGGTGGTTAGATGGAAATGTCTAGAAATTCAAATACCTGAAAACTCGTTTGGCGATTATAAATTGGATTCCAAATTTTCGTATGTATAAAACCCCCTTGAATTAGTTTTTTCCGGATGGAGTAAATATACAATACACTCCCACGAGATTTAGAATTAAGCGCTCAAGAAAATAAAATTATTGGAGAATAATCATCCCTGCTTTGTAACCGAAATCCACTGAATTCAGACGAAATCCAAAAATAGCGAAATTAGTCTACTATTGGAGAATAATTTTCTCTTCTTTGTAACGAAATCCACTGAATTCAGACGAAATCCAAAAATAGCGAAATTAGTCTACTATTGGAGAATAATCATCCCTTCTTTGTAACGAAATCCACTGAATTCAGACGAAATTAAAAAATAGCGAAATTAGTCTAGTCGGAAGGGCGAAACGGAGAAGCCGGATAACCACTGGTCGGAAAATAAAACACGGCTGAATCCACGGCCGAGTAACCCACAGAAATACAAGTGGATGGAAATCCATTGAAAGTTACATGTGCCCCTCTCTCTGTCTCTCTCTCTCCGTGGGAAAAGGAAATGACCAACCGTAACCCTCCTCTCTCTCCCTTTTTTTAATGTTATAACCAAAAAAACCAGACCCGCTATCATTCTTTCATCTCTCTCTCTCTCTCTCTCTCTGGGTTTTTTTAATCTCTGCAAATTCCTCCTTTAGACATTATTTTACAGGATAGTCTCTGCAGATTCTTATCTTTGAAACCATTTCTAAGTGCTTTTTGGAACCATAGGCTACCGCAAATACTTTCTTTTATATGGGCATTTGAGTCTTTTATGGACGTAAATGTTTGTTTAAAAGGGCCAACGTGTACGTTTTAATGGTCGAAAAATGGAGTCAGCTGAGAACGATGTGCCCAATAGGAATTTGAATGCGATGGAGTCAGCTGAGATCGATGTGCCCAATAGGAATTTGAATGCGGCAGAGCTTGAGTTGGTCAAATTAGATGGAAGTTCCGGTCAGTCTGAATCAGATATCCGGTTTGAGAGGGCGATTTCTGTTGAAAATTCCGTTAGCATGACGACTCTGATACTGAGTTCGACCATTGCGGCTGGCGTTCAATTTGGATGGGCTTTGCAACTTTCTCTTTTGACGCCTTATATACAGGTGACCATATTAATGTTTTTTTGCTTCTATTTTGTTGAGATGTCGAGATTTTTTTGTTGATTGGATATCTTTGCTTTGTAAATTCTGTATTTTTTAGAATTTTGTGGTAATCCAACCTTTTGGTTATCTTATGAGATAGAGCGCTAGTAATGAGCATAAAGATTTTGTTTGCCTTTTTGTTTTGTTTTTTTTTTTTTTGCAAATTTACATCATTTCATAGGAAAATGAGTTTATGTTTCAGAGGTATTTGAGTAAAGGTGCAGTTGGCAGATAGAGTGTTAGTAATAAGCATAAAGATTTTGTTTGTATTTTTTTTTTTTTTTTTTCTTTTTTTTTTGTAAATTTACGTCATTTGAGTAAAGGTGCAGCTGGCATACCGATACATTTATAGGTATAGAGGTAAGGTGCATCGTTTGATGTAAAATATTCTTAGTATTATCTTAAAATATATTTTTATATCTAATTATAAAATTATAAATTTAAAAAATAGTTAAAACCAAATAGATCTATAAACATATGAAATCTTTAAAATGGATGGTGTAGATAATATATTGTAAAATATACTATTTTTAATACTGAAAATCTTTTTATTTTTCATGGTCATATATCTCGATGTCGAGATGATCAATCAAAAGGAAAAATATACTTTTCAATGGATTTTTGAAGTGCATATGTAGTTCTACGTTATAAGGTTTCTATCCTAATATTAAACTTTTTCCTTTAAAAAGAATTATTATACCCTTACCCTCTCTTTTTCCCTGGTATTTTACCCAACTTTTTTAATCACGTGTTGTTATCCCCCCATTTTCTGTCTCTACCGGCCCTTTCTCACTCTCTCTCTAACCCGAAATTGAAGCCTCCCCCCTCAAAAGAAAGACTGGCCACCAAAAAAGGCCGGTAAAAAAGGAGCAGCTTTCTCTCTCTACCGGCCCTCTCACTCTCTCCTTTTCTCTCTACCCCCGAAATTAAAGCCATCCTCTCACCAAAAAAAAACTCGCCCAAAAGAAAGTGGCCAAAGACAAATTTTCCAAAGTCCAACGTTTTTCAAGGCGAACTGCCCGTAAAAAACGAGCAGGCCGTGTTTTCCAGTGAAAACAAGTTATTTCCCCGCAAAAAAAAAGAAGGGTTTGTAATGATAGGGGAAGAGAGAGAGACTGGGTTTTTTCTCTCGTTAATGGGGTTTTAGATAGAGAAAGCCGCTTCTCTCTCAATCAGTTCAAAGCAGCCTTTCCGCGATGGTATTTATAGCAAGACAGACGCCTCTTCACAAACTTCTTCAAACCAGTTTGAAAATCAGTTGCAGGTTTTTACCCGAGCTCCTCTTGAGCCAAACTAATGTCTTCCCCAAATTAAAGGGAAGACAAATTGGTGTTTTAAGGCATTTCAACAACACCTTCAAATGTCTCTAAAATGACTGCTAATCGGGCAGGCATTTCAGCAACATTCCCCTTTGCTCACCTTTAAATGTTCCAAAAATGCCCTGGCATTGTAATCGGTGATGTGTTCCCCAAATTGAAGATCTTGTAAAGAGCAAGGCCCTTGAGAGAGAGAGAGAGAGCTGGTAGAGAGAGAGGGAGGGTATAGAGAGATATGGCGTGTAGAGACTTCAAAATGCTGACGTGTCATATTTTTTTTGTTTGCATAGAGAGAGAGGTGGGAAGGATATTTTTGTCTTAAAAAAATACAATAAAAAATAGTATCGAGGTTTAAGAAGAGAAAAGTGCCTAGAATGTTATTACTTTCCTTTGTTATATTTCCCTCTCCCTTCCTCTCTCTCTCTCTCTCTCTCTGTAAATGTTTATGTTGTTATGATTATTCAGTTAAGATATTCCATGGCCTATTGTTTCAAATTAAATGATGCATCTGGTTAGAAATGCCATTGTTAAAAATCGGGAATGATGCTTCTCTCTCAACTAATAGATTTCCTGGTTTTGCTATGAATGCATGATTTGTTACACTCTTCTCTAGTGCTGTTGAGTTACGAATGGCGCTTTTCCTAGCATTGCTGGAGCCATCGCAACTTCTCTTATCCTCTTATCGCCATTGTTCTTATCCTTCTTAGTTTAGTAAATTCATTGTTTCTCCATAAGGAATCTGGAAATTTTTATCCGTATTAAGTCTTATAATGACTTTAGCATGTTCCATGCATTGTAGACTTTTAAATTTAACGGTAATTCATGTGTGTGTATTATATGATTATATGTATGTATGCATATGTATACCATCATCATCATAGATTAAGCCATGTCCAAATTATCTAGGTTCGGCTATATAAATCTTGTTCTGTCATTATGCTCAATCAAAAGCCATATCTTCACTCAAAATATAAGTAACTATATTTCTTCTCACTATTTATATCTATATTCTTTCGGCTCTTCCCTTTTTAGAGTCTTCCACTTGAACCAAATCGTTTGTACTAACAGGTGCTGTTTTACGTCGATGTTCCACATAGCCAGCAACCTAAGTCTACTTTTTCTCATCTTGTTCCTAATTGGAGCTACCTCTAAGTTTTTTTTGATGTATTCGTTCTGAATTTTATCTTTTTTTATCTTATCACGCATCCATCGCAATATCCTCATCACACTGTACTCATCTATGATTATATTATTTCTGGACCGCCCAACATTCCATCCTATAAAGCATTGTTGGTTTTACAACCATCTTTTAGAACTTTTTTTGACCTTTCATTGTCATTTGTATGCCATGATCACATAAAGCTTCTAGAAGCACATCTCTACTTAGCCCACCCAGTTCTAATTTTATGTACGACATCTTTTTCAATCTCTTCATTCTAATGGATTATCAACCTAAGATATAAAAAATATTATCTTTTTCTACTACTATGGTTATTAAACTTGCATGTACGTGTGTGCGGGCAGGCATGCATGTGCGTAGAGGGTGGGTGTGTGAAGCTAATATTTGACATTTTAATAATAAAATTGACTTAGAAAAATAGAACATGGGCCCAAATTCAAAGACACCGTCCGAAGACGTGTGTGCCCCTGCGTCTTATGATATGGACACCCTTTGTTTGTTACGGAGAACCACATGCCTTACCAAAGAGACACGTGTCTTGTTCACCACCCTGTGGACTTATGTGTCTACATTACAGACACGCTGTGTTTTTGAATCTGAAAGAAGAAAACATTTGACGGGCATGTGATCATGGGTTTCCCTTGCCAGTATGCGTGGTTCTCCAGGCAGGTTGGCTTCTCCAAAATGTGCATGACATGCATGTCTCTGATGTATTGGTCCCTAAAGTACTGTGATTTTTTATGATGTTGAGGTGAGCATCAAGCTACTCTCAACCTGTGATTTGCAGTGTCCTTGGAACCTTTGTGTTCATTTCTATTATTATGTGGTGATCCATTGTATTTGTATATAACTGTTTCCTATTTCTTATTTTGTTTTGTTAGCATTGTTCAATTTTGTTTCTCATTGATATTGTAATCGCTACATATTTTATTTTGTTAATGATAATAACTTACCGTTTTTAATTCTTTGTTTTCTAATCACAGACCCTTGGAATTGAGCATGCGTTTTCTTCATTCATTTGGCTTTGTGGTCCTATTACCGGCCTTCTGGTAGGTGGTTCTAGCATTATACCTTTACATATTGTAGGTTTATTAGTGGTTCCTCTCTTATTTACTTTGCATATGATGTTGGATTTGATTTAGAGTGGATCATTCCAATCTTGTCTCATCGTTGATTAATAGGATTTCTTATTTGATAGAAATCAAAGCACACATGAGTGATCAACTATTTAACATTTCACCCTTCTTTCTTTTTCTTTTCTTTTCTTCCTCCTTTTTTTTTTTTTTTATTATGTAGTTTCAGAATCCCTTTAAAGGGAGCATCATCATGTGTCAAAATTGTGGGAGGGGCACTTTTCACTTCTGCCCCTCGGACAAAACCAAAGTGATTTTCTTAAAACCATTTATTTGCATATTATTTTGTCGGTATAGAACATCATCCTTCCCGCTTTCAAACATCCCACCATGAGGGAAAGCTTGAGGCCTATTCCCCTTCCTTTGCCCTCAAGCCTCCATCTGAAATAGTCATTGCCATCTCCATGCCCATCAAACTTGGTGTGGTTGTGATTGACTCTAACTCTAGATTGGATAAATTTCTCATGAAATAATACAAGAAGTTACTTCTTAAGAATTTACTTGTTAAAACGTCAGTAGGTTTCTTATTAGCATTTTTTTAGTACGTAAACATCTTATTAAATAGCAGTAGAGACAAGGAAGTAGTAAAGATTGACGACCAGAAAGTACAAAAAAAGAACGAACTTTCGATATCTTGGATCGATAATCTAGGAAAATGAGAAATTGAAAAAGATGTCGTACGTAGAATTAGAGCTAGGTGGGCGAAGTAGAGATGTGCAACTGGATTTTATGTAATCGTCCCATATCAATGAAACTGAAGGGAAACTTCTATAGGATAGCTGTAAGACATTTGCTCTATGAGGCAGAATGTTGGGAGGACAAAAAACAATATATCCATGGAATGACTGTAGTGGAGATGAAGATGTTGAGATGGATGAGTGGCAAGACAAGACGAAATAGAATTCAAAATGAATCCATTCGAGATAATTTATGTATGGCACCAATAGGCGATAATATGAGAGATATTAGACTTAGATGTGTTGGCTATGAGTGGCTCCAACCAAGTACAATACATGTTAGGAGGTGTGAGTTAGTTCAAGTGGAAGGACTTCAAAAGGCAAGGGATAAGCCTAAAAAGATGTGGTTAGAAGTAGTTCGGAAAGATATGGGGACTTATGGCCTCACTAAGGATACGGCATTGAATAGAGTAGAATGACATACCAAAATTCATGTAGCTGACCCCAATTAATTGGAAAAAAGCTATGATGATGATGATGACCCAAGTATCTTATTTTGACCACAATATTTTAAAAAATGCTAGGTGGCATCTAGGTGGTCTGGGGGTCTAGGCGGCCCAATGCCTAAGCAGGCACCCAGAACCTTGGCGGCCGAGTAGAAAGAAAAAAGTCTGTAGTCTAAATGTCTAAGTCTAACTGTATAATTATCTAACACATAATCCATAATCCATATTTCTATGAATGAGGAGAAGTCCATAACCCATAGTTCCATATAATGCTAGAACCATACAAGCATACACACAAGAGCTAGTAGAAACTAGAAACTAAAAAATAAAAAAAAGAAGAAAATACACAGTCGAAGATTCAATAGTCAACACCAAGAGTCAAGCGTTCTCATTCTTCAGTCATCATCATCATCATTATCAAAAGGAGTAGGGTAAGCCTTATCATGTGCATCGGATTCAAGGTCATCATCATCAAAGTCATCTTCATCTTCAACATAATTGTCGCACCCCAAGTTTTATAACACTAAAATCCTTGAGATGTGACAGTCTATTCTTAAAAGGCAAAACAAATTCGAAATTTTTTTCTCTTTAAGAATAAATTGTCACATCTCAGGAATTTTAGTGTTATAAAACTTGGGGGTGACAATAATACTCATCCTCCTCTGTTTCTCTTCTTCTACCTCCCTTTTACTCTGTGTAGATAAGGCCCTAAGAGTCTTAGCTACTCTACCTGGTGCCTCTTCGCCCTATTTTTTTTTTTGTGTTATTTCTTGAATTCAAATATTATATAATTTCTTCTCTGATAGCTTCAGGAACAATATTACACGGGGCAACATCCCTCTTAATACCAGCAAGGTGTTTCTTGAACCTGTAAATACCCCAATTGGTATCATTTTCACAATAATTACACCTATTACAATTTTTGTCATTTGGATTCGGGTTGTGACCATACTTCCAACCTGGATCACCACTTCTAGAAGAACCTATATAAGATATTTCCATAGAACAATGCTCATTTTCTTCCTTTTCGAGTTCTACTAAATTCCAATATTGTCTAATCTTATCTCGAATAGCTTTCGGAACCTTTTTACAAGAAGCAATATTCTCTTTAGTATCGGCAAAGTTTTTCTTGAATCGGTTAATACCCCCATTGGTATCTTTTTCACTAAAATTACACTTTATACAATTTTCATTATTTGGTTTCGAGTTATAATCATACTTTCAACCTGAATCACCTCTTCCAACAGAACAAAAAATAGACTTATCCAAATGACAAGGATTTTGTTCTTGTTTGTGTTTTACTGAACTCATATATTGGTTAATCTCCTCTCTGATAGTTTCAGGAATATTTTTACAATGGACAACATTCCCCCTAATACATGCAAAATGTTTATTAAATTGTTTTATTATTTTGTATTCTTTTCACAATAATTGCTTCTTATGAAATTTTTATCCAAATGATTCATGTTATATCCATATTTCCAACCCGGATCACTATTTTGACAAGTTCATGAAAAAGACATATCAAAATAATACAAATAATCTAAAAAATAAAATTTTGTACTTATTTTAAGTACTTGATCTCCAAACTTTCACCTCTGAGATGTTTTCTAGTACTAAATTTTTTTAAAACACCATCTAATAGGCCTAAAAAATTGCTAAAACAAAATCTAATCTTAATAGGTGATGTTTGGATCCATTTCCCGTAACTTTGAGAAACACGTCGATCCAAAGAAAATCACAATTTTTTTTTTTTAAAAAAAAGTTTATCTCTATCGAAAATGGGCTCTAATGGGTTTAGGTTTCAAATTAACCTAAAACCCACCTTTAAAATCAATTGTTTTTTAAAAAAACTCAAAAAAACCCTTCAACAAAGGGCATTTCTGCCCCTGGGCGGGGTAGCAAGCACTAGGCGGCCTCCTAACGCTAGGGCCATGGACAACCCGCTTAGGCCTGGGTGATGCTCCCAAGACTTTTGGACCTCCTAGGTGTTGAGTGATCCACTTTTTAAAACATTGTTTGACCATGAGCAGTCTTAGGTCATGATTTTTTTTAAATGAAGTTCTAGGTATACATTGAGGGGCCGTTTGGGTACTTGAAAATCTATTACGTGACAATAGATAACAAGGAAATATGGCATTTCCACTGTTTGGGTACATTTAATCTTAAGGAAATGGAACGAGATTATGCGAGATTTCCCAAAAAATCAAGAAATCCATTACACGCGGTGCTAGCTGAAAAATCTATTACGAGAGTAACGGTTAATTTTGGGAAATCTTTTGTGTGCGATTTTGCCTACCCCATCCTGATTAAAAAAATGTTCTAAGCCCTATCTCTTCATAATAACTAGGTGATCCCTCCCTTTTTAAGCTTGTCCCTTTATCTGAAGGCATCAATTGTCATATAAAAACAAAAATAATGAAAATAAAAATTAGTAATCAATGATAAATTACACAACACAATCATAATAAAAAATTTCCCCGTCCCCTCATTTGAAGGCATCAGTATCATATAAAAACAAAAATAATAAAAATAAAAATCAGTAATCAATGATAAATTAAACAACACAATCATAATAAAAAATTTCATACAACATAATACTTATAAGATATTACTAAAATCTCAATTGAAATAACATACCTCTTTATTCTCCTCCAATACCTCAAAATTTTATATTGCAATTACGAAACCTTCTAGTTTACTAATCAAGCTTCTTCCCATTTTTAACTCGTACGCTACAAATTTTGAATTTAGTATCATAAATTTATTGTTTATTTGAAATTATATAGAGAGACATTTGAAAGACTTCTATAAAAATAAATAAAAATAAAGCTTATGATTATTAAATCATGTTATTCCAATCATATTGTTCCAATGACTTATCATGTTGAAACCAATGCCGTGTTAGAAAACATGTGATTGCATATAAGTGCCAAAGGCATTTAAAATAAGTAGGAAATAGTGTCATGACTGTAAAATGGTACAAGTTATTATTAGAAAATATTTTTGGAATGACGATAATGTTATTATTAGAAATACTTTTGGAATGGTGTGGTGAAGATTTTAATTCAGTATTTTAGTGGAATTTTGTGACAAAAAAGAAGGAAATGATAATTCTGCATTTTAGTGAAATTTTGTGACAAAAAAAAAAAAGAAATTATAGTCTATAGGCACGTGCTGATAAAATGTTGGTAAAGCATTTCATATATTTCTTTCGAACATAGCCAAACAATAACAATGTATTTTCGAGGTTATATCTAAATACTACCCAAACAGTAACAATCTATTTACAGGTAATGTATTACACCAGTAATATATTTCACAGACAATATATTTCCACTTATCCGAACGATCCCTTAAGGTTTTTGCTTTGTTTACCCCTTCCCCCTAGGTTGGTCACAAGGCCGAATAGTTGATATCCCCAAAATTTGGGGTCGCTCGGTTTTGCATGAGCAAGCAAATTTTCTTTTCGCTCTCGTGTGAGCATATAATCTTTTCACTTTTAGAGTGAATATCCTATGTCAAACCAGTATGTCCTTGGTAAAAAGTGGTTTCCTTGAAAACCACTTTACTTTGGGTTTGATGGAGGGGCAAAATTGAAAATTCCCATGCTAGAATTCCTAACCCATGATGATATGTCTGTGGATAGGATCTTTGAAGTTGAATAAAAAGAAAAAAGTGAAACGTTAAATGGTTCATCTTTTGAGTTCTGTTCGATAAATATCTTATAAATGACCTCTGATATCATTAATGATCATCTAGAGAGTAAAAATGCTTTATGTTTTTTGTAATCTTTTCCTGTCTAGGAAAAAGAACCCCATAAACATTTTGAGGTTTAAAAATGCTTTTCAATTACTTGATTTTTAATTATTTGAGCCTTTTGTTTGAAAAGGAAAATTTTGTTTATGCTCTTTATAGCTGCGTATCTTTAGATGACTCAATTATTTGCAATGGTTTTATGCTGACCCTGTAGTAACTTGCCCACATGCAAACCTAATAGAACTTTTTATGATATATAAATTGAGACGATATATATGTGATATTGCTACAGTGTTTAACTATGCTCACAAGGTAGTGCGCCGATGTTAGTTACAGTTGACCATCAAAAGATGGAATCCAAGTAGTGGTAAGGGACCTGATAAATAATTTCCAGAAAGAAAGAGAGGACTTCATAAAGATGGTTTCCATTGTTTGACTAGATGAGTAATTTGCACGTTATGCCGATGAAATGTTGAATTCATTTATTCTGAAAGGAAATACCCATAATGCTTATGGCTTTGAGAATATCTTCTACTGCGTATGCAGTATTCCACAAGTTGCAAGTAAATAGACTTATGGCAAAATGATAACCTGGAATATGTTATTGGGTTCTGGTGTTGGACGCTTGGGAATGTGATGGAGTTTGGTTAGATATGGGCTTTTATTTTAATCCTCCAGCCAAATCTCATTTCGGTTGCTTTTTAGCCTTGAAAGATTAAGGGTTTCCTATATTTACCATTTTTATTAATTAAAGAAAAAATTTAATATAGACTCTAAACAATCAAATTAGAGCCCACCTCAAAAATTCCACTAGAATAGGTTGTTTTGATACCTAAATATCCTCAAATTGATCAATCTCGGCATCAAGGTGCATGGACACGAGGAAAAATTGAATTTCAAGTTTTGGAAATAGTGCATCTTGTAATGTATTTTTGGACCGCCAATTTTCAAGATTTTCAAGCTTTCATAGATCTGCTCCATCTGTATTATTTTTTAAGCTTTAAATTTTATAATTAGATATGAAAATATATTTTAAAGCTATCACAAAGATTTTCAGTATTGAAACCACAGTTTTCAATACTACTTGAAGGTGCTCTCTACTTTGATTGTTTAGAGCCTCGGCTCTATTCTAACCGTACCCTTAATTAAATTGTATATTTGCAAACCATGAGAGCCCATGGATCGTTTTGTTGGAATTCACAAGCCTTGTTTATACAGTAGAGGTGAATGCTAAATTCTTCACTATCTTCACTTAACAATTATGAGCATTCAATCAAGGTCTCAAATGCGTATATGTTGATGACATTGTGATATAAGTATACTATGAAAGAAATAAGGAAGATGGTCTACAGATTTCTACCATGCTAATGCATTTCTTTGTTCTGACCTTGGCACTGCAGGTTCAGCCATGTGTTGGTGTATGGAGTGATAAATGCCATTCAAAATTTGGAAGAAGGCGGCCATTTATTTTTGTTGGGTCTCTCATGATTTGTATAGCAGTGAGTATTCATGAGTCGTGTTTTTCAGTTAAACATTTGGACAGCTTTCCGTGTTTTGATCACAGCTAATGCCTTGGCTAATCAGGTTACCATTATTGGATTCTCTGCGGACATTGGATATCTATTTGGGGATACGAAGGAGCATTGCAGGTAAACAATTGCGTGTTGCTTCTTTTTAGTGAAAGTATGATCTTTCATGTTATGACATGCACTATTGCTCTTGTGGTTTGATCAAGAATCTTTTATGACTTACAGTACCTATAAAGGTACTCGTGCATGGGCCGCATTCATCTTTGTTGTCGGCTTTTGGATGCTGGATCTTGCCAATAACACAGTACAAGTAGGTCCATTACAGTGTTTTTTTTTTGTGGTTTGTGCTATTTTTGTAAGGCTGGTGTGATAATATTTGGTATGGTGTTTTCCATTCTTTAATGAGTTCTGTGTCATGTTTAAGATTGTAAAAGTCTTTGAAAATTGGATGAGGGGATGGATTTATCTTTATGCATGCCTTTCTTCATTGGATAAGATTTATACATGGACTTTCTGCCTGCTTCTTTAACAGGGCTTCACTGTTATTTCAGGGTCCTGCCCGTGCACTATTAGCGGATCTCTCAGGTGAGGTTATGTTCATATCGAATTTCTTTGTTTTGTACTTTGTTTGAGGCCGTACATTTTTCTACGTATTGTTATTGCATAATATTTGTCATGATCTTTGTTATTTTGTATTATGACAGGTCCTGACCAGCGAAATGCAGCAAATGCGGTATTCTGTTCTTGGATGGCTCTTGGGAATATCTTGGGGTATTCTGCTGGTGCTAGTGGACAATGGCACAGGTGTTATTATTTATTATTATTATTATTATTTTTATATTTTTTGTGGACATTAGTTTCTATAACAGTGAAATGGTGACACTATTACAAGTACCATGCTCTTGGCAAAACCATTTCCAACTGACCTGATAATTAGTATTGTCTTTATTTGATTAACTTTTTTAATGGTTTCTTTTATCTCTTATGCTATTTCTTCTTGCTATCCAATATTTATTGTTGTACTTATCATAGCTTATGTTGACATTGATGTGGTGCTGCTTGTTGTTCTTATTATAATATGCTCTTCTTGAGCAGGTGGTTCCCTTTCTTGACCACACGAGCTTGTTGTGCAGCCTGTGGAAATCTGAAAGGAGCTTTCCTCGTAGCTGTGGTAAGGATCAAATTTGAATGTAACTTTACCCAAAAAAAAAATTTATGCAATAAAAAACTTATTTTCTCTATGCAGTTCTTTCTCGGTATCTGTGCTATTGTGACCCTCTATTGTGCTCGAGAGGTTCCACTGGATTCTGCTACTTTATTAGATGGCACCAATGACCATGCCCAAGGAGATCTCAATATGGAATCTGATAAATCAGTTGGGAATCTTGCATCTGGTGATGCTAAAACTGATGTTGATACTCTCGGCGATAAAAAGAAAGAGGATGAGAAGGGGATACATAATGATGGACCTGGAGCAGTCTTGGTCAATCTTTTAACAGGCATCAGACATCTACCTCCAGCTATGCACTCTGTGCTCCTAGTCATGGCTCTTAGTTGGGTATGCCTTCTACCATTTTTTTTTTATGCCGCTAATCTGGATCTTTTACAATGATGCATGGTTGTAGGATTGTCATCTCTTTTTCTGGTGTTGCACCCACTCTCTATCGATGTTTTCCATTTCTTCATAGGTGGCCCCAAGATTGTTAGTTTTTGTTTTTGGGAGGTGGCTTTCTGACCCTATAGTTTTTTTACCTTCAGTTGTCATGGTTTCCATTCATTCTCTTTGACACTGATTGGATGGGTCGTGAAGTTTACCATGGAGATCCAAAAGGAGATGTGTCAAAGGTAGCAGCTTATGACAGTGGAGTCAGAGAAGGTGCATTTGGTTTGCTATTGAATTCAGTAAGAACTCAAGTTTGATCAATGAATTTTTCTAAGAAATTATTTCCCATTTACTAAGGTCGTCTGAGATTGAGGAAGAAACTTTAGCTTATCATAATGGTTAAATATTAGTTACACTTAGTAGGATTTATATAACCATCTTTTGCTTTCCTGGTCAGCTTGTTCTCGGGATCAGCTCTTTCCTTATCTATCCAATGTGTCAATGGATTGGTTCTAGTTCAGTATGGGCAATGAGCAATTTCATTGTATTTGCATGCATGGCATGCACTGCAGTCATTAGTGTGCTATCCATTAGGGAACATGCTCAAGGAATCCAGCATGTCATTGGAAAAAGTGGTGCAGTTAAAGTTGCTTCATTGGTTATATTTGCTCTTCTTGGATTTCCCCTTGCCGTAAGTACCACAAATTGACTTGATGTCACCTTATTGATGCACCTACTTGGAAGAAGTATACCATTGTCCCATGGACAATGACATGTGGTACTCCATGCTATGTCCACCATCTGTTCCCCGAGTGATGGGATGAGATTAATGACATTCCTGTTGGTAGAGTTGATCTCCAGCCATCCGTTGGTGTGAACAAATGTTGAATATGGCCTTGGTGTTCCATTTACCATAGTTAAGTGTACTGTATTGTGCTCCTTATCCTTCACATACTTGAAGTTCTGTACACTATAATAAGCAAATGGACTATGATTTGCCCATCCTTTCGACGGAGATTTGACCTTGGAATTTTCACTGTTGTGGAACATTTCTGTTGCAGATTACATATAGTGTTCCATTCTCTGTGACAGCAGAGTTGACTGCTAACAGTGGAGGTGGTCAAGGTTTGTATAAAATGAATACCTAAAAGTTTCTTTTGTAGTTTCCTTGCAACTTTAATTCATGATAATTCTTTTTTCACAGGACTGGCTATAGGTGTTCTAAATCTTGCTATTGTGGTACCCCAGGTATGTGTTGTTTATTAATGAACTGACATAAATTTCGAGGTGGTAAAATCTGGATATCTATGCACTCAATCCTGTATTCTATTTCATCATCTGTGTCCCACAGTATAAATACTTGCTCTGCATTCAGCATGTGCATGATAGTTTTGTGGTTCTTATTTTTAGGATTGTATGAATTTTAGGAATTGACACTGAGGATAAACACTTGGTGCTGTTTTGAATGGTTTCAACTGTTGAGTTGGGACTGTATCATTTGACATCTGGTGTCGGGATAGCCTGTTTATATGTTCTGCCTCCCCAATGGATCTTCATTCATGACCCTCATTTACAATGTTTCTGCGAGTTTAGCAAATCTTATTTGTTAATTGCTCTATTTATTTATAGAAATGAACTTAGTTAAAGAAATTTTTTATTAAATCGAATGTATAGTACTATGCTATTAAAAGAGAAAGGCAACCCTAATCCAATATACTCTGTTAAAAGTGTCTACCAGGGCAATGACATTTCCTAATATAGAGAGAGGTAAGCACTGAAAAAAATGAGTATCCATAAGAATAAAGACAGGTCCTCAGGAATTTGGTCCCATCTAAATGGGCCACCTGGATGTGTACTCAGGGGCATGAGTAGGGATATGATGCTATATTTCCAGATATTGAACATATGGATGCAGATATGGGTATCCTGATTAATTTAATCCAAGTACATTGTGTTTGCGGATTCGTAACCCTGAAGGAGTCTTCACCATAGTCTTGACATTTGCCATATGTAAATAAACAATTGATATGTTTTGCAATTAGTCGTATCACACTGACACTTATAATATATGGCATATCGTGTTTTATATCCTTTTGATAAAGATAAATAGCAAGAAAGAGTTATCTGGTTATCCTTCTTTTACAGTGTCGATCTGTTGGGTTCAGTCGGTGGTTTATTTCTCCACTATCCCCCAATTTTCTTATCCATTTAATGTAGATTCCCCATGCAAAGTAGTTAAATTATCTGACGTACATTTTATGTTCAGCCTTATGCTCGACATTTATTACATAATACTAAGAAATTTTGACCACGTATTGACATGATCTAACACTCATTTGCTTCTCTACTTTTCTGAAGGTTATTTGGTAAAGTTTCATGATGCAAAAACAAGCTTACGTTTCTTAACCAAGAACAACTAAGTAGAAACTTTATGTCTTTGGGCCCTGGTTTTGTGCAGATGATAGTTGCACTGGGGGCTGGTCCATGGGATGCCCTTTTCGGTGGGGGCAATGTACCTGCATTTGTTCTTGCTTCTCTCTTTGCACTTGCCGCTGGTATCATAGCAACAATTAAGTTGCCAAGGAAATCTCCGAAATCTTATAAGGACGAGGTTTTTGTGCAGCCAAACCTGCATATATAGAAATGCGGGCTTATTAATAAATCTTTTTTGGAGATGGATTTTTGGATCTAATTTTTAAGGACATGTAATCTCCAACATGGAGATCATGAATATGAAAAACTAAATAAACTGGCAGTTTTTATTGTTTTTAGATGGAGTGCCTACTTGTATCCATCTTTAAGATGGATGCTTTACTCTTTTTGGACCGCATATGTAGTCATGCGGTCCAGTCCGCATGAGACAATTTTCCTTCTTATAAACCTACTACATCCCATGGTTTTGGTAAAATTGCCCCTTCTGAAAGAGCAAATACATGTACAATTGAATCATGAAATTTTAGAGGTGATCATCTTCATGCAGTTCAATTCTTTTATGGTTTCTCTCTCTCTCTCTTTCATCTTTGTTATTGGTGGAGTGGGAGCTGTATTGATGGAGTTTCTTTGGGAAAGTTACGACCATGAATTATTGGATAGCCAATTGTCCCAGTAAGCTTTTCTAATTTCTTTATTCTTTTGAATATTGATACTAGTGGTTAAATATGAGAATTATTTCGTTTCATTTTCTTATGGTGCTCATTCACCCATAGAACAAAAGTGGCAGGGGATTAACTCCTTGGAAACTATTTTCGTTATTCCCCTTGGATTGGCATCAATAAACTTATTTTGAAAGCTGGATTCATCAACAGGTGGATCATGGAAATTCATAGGGTTCTAAAATTGAATTAATCTGGAACAAAAAACCTTAACCCTAAAGAATGTAAAACAAGATTAATGTAGTAAAACAAGATTAATGCAGTAGCATTTCTCATCTTATTTGTTGTTCATTCAGTCGTGCATTTGATTTGTTTCACTTTAAAGCTATTCTTACCTCCTTGTACTCCTAAGCCACAAAGGTGAACCGTGGCAACAAGATTTGTTTCTTCGGTCTCTATTGTTAAACTAATTAAGAATAGATAAACTCTTTATGTAATTTGATCTATGTCTTTCAATTTTGAGATATGAGTCATGTTGATCGGTTCATTTGGTCCTGCCTTAGTACACAACAGACCAACATAAATAACTGATGAGAAGCATTGAAGTTGAATGATCTACCCTTGAGCTGCTGTCATTGCCTTGACTATCATTTTCCGGCAAGAGATCGCCATCCACGTGGTACTCAATCTGTGTATTAAATGTGGCTCCGACCGAACGAATTAGGTTTTTTAGTTCATCTTGTTAGGGACAAAGTAACAGGAAATAGGTTTAGATCATTTTTGGAATGATCGGTTGGGTTCAAATTGTAAGTGAGCATGGTTCTCTCTAGATAAACTCAAAATATAGGTCATCCTTGCAATAAGGGTCATTCTAACGAATCTCATGTCCACATGGATATGTTGTAATGAGAGTCGATATCGTCTGCTCATTGAGTTCGATGGTGATGGAGTGAGAAAAGGAAGAGAGAGGGAGTTATCTACCCAACGGGTGGGTTTGACGGTGATGGAGAGAGAGGCCACGACATAAGATGAATTGGATGGAAGGTTTCTGTCTCTCCACCAACAAGAACTCTAGATATATATTTGCAAACACATAGTGTATTAGTTTGGGTAAGGGATGCCACCTTTGAACCGGTCCATACTTAAAATTTAACCATTCCTAAGAGAATATTCATCTCTAAAGCTTATTCTAAATAATAAACAAGTAGCACTTTAGGAAAAACTTTGATAGATCAAAACAAACCATATGTGGCGTGTTTGTGAAGCCCCATGGGCACACACTACCATCATGAACGCTGTTAGTATTTTTGGGTTTTGGAAAATACTTGTATTTATTTTAAAACAACACTATAGTTTATTTTTTTCTAAATTGTTTTGCCTTTGGTTTTATCCTAAATTGCTTTGTAGAGAGAGAAGGATGTGGGTTTGAATCCCACATTGTAGAGAAGAGAGTTTGTTGAGTTGTATTTAAGAGCATGCATTCCCGGCTTTATCTTAAATTGCTTTATAGAGAGAGAAAGATGTGGGTTTGAGTCCCCACATTGATGAGGAGAGAGTATGTTGAGGTGTATTTAACAACACATTGATGGTGCACTTTGTACCTCGCCCAACGGTCATCTAGCCGTTGATACGTGTAGGACATCGAACAGCCATATAGCCGTTGATGAGATGGAGGCTTGTAACAATAGCCATCAAGTGCATATAACCTACCCGTATGGTTTTGAGGACTTCGAACAATTTTTTAGCCTCTCAACATACAGACTTAGAACAATTTTTTAGCCTATCAACATACACACCATTCTCTGCACTTCCAGCAAGCAAACCAATAGGGTAAACTCTCTCTCTCTACTCTATTTTGTTTTTTTCTCTCTCTAAACTATTAAGACTCTGGTGTTTCACGTGTGGATTCTAAGCTCGAGTGCATAGAGCCTAGGAACATTGTAAAATACCTCTTTATTTTCCTATATCCCGATGACATATTGCCCTTGTTATGCATGTTAAATACTATATCGAAGGGGGGGCAAATATCCTCTTAAGATAGCACTCCTATGTGCCTGAAAACAAGAAGAATTCGGGAGCTTTCTTTTTGTAAATCATATTATTTTCTGCCCCCATATCACCCGAACTTTTTCCATCAAAGCCACAAAGGAGAGCTATGGCAACAACATTTGTGTCCTCCAATGTTAGAATCTCTCAAGTTAATATGACCAAGTCATGATCATTCAAATCTTCTACTTCATCAGTAAATAATTGATGTTCAAGTTTGCTTCAACCAAAAGCGAGATTATACAGACAAGTAGTAATATCCACATACATTTCTATATCCCCCACCCAACTCAAAAAAAGAAAAAAAAGAAAAAAAAGAAAAGAAAGAATAATGAAAAAAATGAAAGTAATTAGGTCCATAAACTCTCTATGTCAACTGCTTTTATATCTTTCAATTTGGCGGCGACATCTCTCATGTTGATCCGCTCATTGAGTTGCTCCTTTGTGCACAACAAACCGACATAAATAATTGATGACAAGCATTCAAGCACTAAACTCGAACATTCTACCCTTGAGCTCTGGCCATTACCTTGGCTATCATTCTCCATCAACAGATCCCAATCCACAACATGCAGTAGTCCCTCTGAGCATTCTTGGTCAACCCATTTTGGCAAGCTCAAATCATCAAAGAACATAGAATCAGTGGGCCTCTTCCTTGTAAAAGTCTCCACTGGTTGTTGCACTAGCCCCTACACCATATTCTAATGGTGGATACAACAAAGTAAGTATCATAAAGATAAAACATTTGTCGAATCTTAGTGTAAAAGCAAAGCCTTGTTCCTTGAATCTAACCCATACAACATGATTCATAAAATCATTGTGATCATATGACCATGACGTTGTTACCATCCAATCAATGACTAGAAGGTGGTAACCAATGGTCAAAATTGTTAGTAATTTACTATGATCGTATGGCCCATAGTATACATTTCCAATGTTTAATTGTCATGAGTCATGAGTCATGACAAAAACACATCCAAAAATTTATACATAAGAATGTGGATTGTACTTTTTGATGGTGTGACAGTAGTTAATAGAGTAAAAAAAATAGAAATTTACCCTTGCGTGGAGAGATAGGAAGATATTCTTTTAGATTTTGATCTTAACTTCTTATTATTTGGCCTTTCTCCTCTCTCTCTCCATACCCCCTCTCTTTCCTCTCTCTCTCTCTCTATATTTTCCTCCCTCTCATGCCTTCTCTCTCTTCCCCCTCCTCTCTCTCTCTCTCTGTATAGCCACTTCATGTCCCCACTCCTTTTCTCCCTCTCTCCATATCTTTTGGATTGGTGAACTCACTAATTTAGTTAGATTAGCATTTTTTTTTTTTAGGATAAACATTGTAGTTTCTAAAATCCCTTTAAAAATATTCCTCTCCTTAAATAGGTGCGTACCACTTTCTTTCTCCCTCTTTCCCCCTTAAAATAGGTAACTAACCTACAATATTTATAGTATTAGGATCCCTTTTTATTTTCATGACAAGTGTCCACCCCTTAACTCTTGCTTAATAATATAGCATAGACAATATAAATATAGATATAGGTATATGGTTATGCATGCCCTGTATATGGCAATGACTGATGACAAGGGTACAACTTAAAAGTACTCACTATGATCTATAATAAAACACCAAGGAAAACCAATGCCTAAAAGAAGTCATACCTGGAGCTATATATTCAATTGTTCCAAGGGTGCATGTTTGACTATCAAAGTTTTCCTCACCAATCAGCTTTGCAAGTTCAAAATCTCCAACATGAGCAGTCAGTTCCTCATAGAGAAGGACATTACTAGGTTTCAAATCACAATGAACAATTTGCACTGAATAATTGTGGTGGAGGTATTCCTAGGCATGTGCTACATCTATCACAATGTCCAATCTTAGGAGAAGACTTATTCGGCGTTGTACTCCATCTTGAGGGTGCAGCCATGTCTCTTGATTACCATTGGTCATAAATTGCAAAACTAGAGCTTTGAAGTCTAAATTGGAACATGTGGTAATTATCTTTACAAGATTTCGGTGACAAATCTTGCTCATCACTTTGCATTCTGCGTTGAAGTTCTTTGAAGCACCTTGTATTTGCAAATTCAGAACTTTGATTGCCACTGGTGTGCCATGTGATAGGATTCCTTTGCACACAGAACCAGAACTACCAACTCCAAGTAAGTTCGAGTGATTGAAGTTATCAGTTGCATGACAAAGCTCATATTAAGATATCCACCTTGGCCCCCTTATTTGTGATACGCTATCATTTATAACATTTCTCAGCTTATGCCCCCAAAAGTACTTCAGAAGAATACATATAGTGGCAAAGACAAAGAAACAAGCAGTCCCTAGAGAAATTTTAAATACCAATGATCTCTTTCATGTCCGTGATCTTGATGTTGTAACATTGATTGGACATGCTTTCACTTTCAGATTTGGGGTTGCACATAGTAGTGGGTTCCCCATAATAGAATCGATAGTAATGTTTGAAAAATTCTACTGCTTGGGATGGCCCCTTCTAATCCATTGAATGACAGGTTCAAGATTTCGAAGAGGACCCAAGGACTTTGAAATCTCACCAGAAAACTT